TAAGCTGAAACTCGGAGAGATAATTAACTCGTGCTGCAATGTTTTAACACTGCCAGGCGATCTTTAATATTATCAAAGTTAATATTAGTTTCATTTTCATAATAATTTGCTTAACTACTTGGAGAATTGAAATTCAGCGAAGTGTTTATATTTAAATGTACCTTAGTTTCTACGTTAGCCATGTAAACCGACTTCGTTTGTTATTATTCGTTGTTATATATATTACTATTAAACAACAAATGAAGTCGACATATAATAATACTATTAATAATAATATACATAACCACACAACTTTATAAATCAATATTCCACCCTTCAAACTTCCAACAAACCTCCCAGCAAAAACCACAAAAACACAATGCAAACACAAACGCTTTAAAAATGAAATTTTATAAAATCTAATAAATAACAATAAACCTTTTTCCCGTACAATGAAAAGAAAAACACGTTGATAATCTTATTTCCAGTCCACCCTCCATCAAATTAAAGAAAAACCAGTATTTCTTTGGAACCTCTTAACGAGCACATTTTCTTATTTTCGCTCGTCGAAGGTATCGCGTAACTTCGACCCCAATCTCAGCCGAGACCAATCCTAATTAATTCGATTTCTCCGGATGCCAGTCGAACCGTGAGAAAACGGGAAGCGGCTGCCCGTTCGCGTTCGAGGCGGAAAAATCCGTGTAACAGGGGCACCGATGTTTGTTCCATTAAGGGTGAACACCGCCTAGAGACATCCTAAATATAATTAACTTCAGGAATTTTTCTGTTAATAACTCTTAAGGGGAAGCTTCTGATTTCTTCTGGGTGTGTAACTGTTACCTTTTGCTTTATATAGATATTTTTTCTACGCCAACATTTTACAAAATGGCGCAGTTATTCGCTATCTTCGAAACCCCTTTTCGTAAAACGTCCGTTATCGGTCGACTCGATTGAAAACAATCCGAAGACGTTTTTATAAATTTACAAACAGAAATATATTATTTAAAATGTCACCAACGGATTTCTCGATATCTTGATTACTTAATTTTTTATAAACATTCGAAGCTAATTTTTTAGAATAAGAACAGGTTTCTGGGCTTCAAATGTTTACCATTTCTGTAATAATGAAAATTTCGAAAAATCCTTTTGCTACATTTTAAATAATATATTTCTGTTTATAAGCCTACAAAAATTTTCGTCTTCGGATGTTTCAGTTATTTTTAATCGACCAAGAATGAATGTTTTATGAGAAAGAGTTCCGAAGCTCTCGAGTATCTACGCCATTTTGAAATTTCGGCTTGGAAAAGATATAAATATAAAGCAGTGGTTATACGCCCAGAAAAAATCATTTTTCACTTAACAGTTACTAACACGTTGACTGCACGAGAACTTCGAACGTGTTGTATAACAATATTCCTCATAACAAACGCAAATAATGTTAGAAATAATTATTAATTACTTTGTATCAGTACTCGTATTACACTATCACCCTATCCGTGTTACTAAATATTCTTATCCAACATCAGTTTTCTTATTGTCATTGCATTTAACCAGTTTGGAAGCTCTACTCACCGATGACCACCGTGGCAGTCAACGCGTTAACAGAAACAATTCCTAAAGTTTGCCTATCATCTCTTAACACTAACGATACCGGCACTTTTCCTGTAACTAGTCAAACAACTGGCTGTAAAATAAAGATGAACAAGTCATATGATAAATATTTCGTAGTGAAAACAGAAACAAAAGAAAACGCAAGAATTGAAAAACTGAGTAACGGGGACAATATAAGAATTGATATTAAAATTACACGTACGAAAGAAGAAACCTAGAATTTTAAATCCGATCATTTCACCGGTTCCTCGGTACGGTTGGTGTTAAGGTTTTACGCGAAGCAGTGACTTCGAATGGCTCGTAAACCGATCCCTCGGGGCATTCGCCAGTCAAACATCGGCGTTCTGCAAGGATTCGCCGCGCCCGGGCCAGTAAAACGACGGACAATGAATCGCGCTAATTGGAAGCGCCGCGATACTCGATTAAAAACCTCTTTCTCGAACGGCCGCTCGTCAAGCGGTTCGAGATCGGCCCCGGGAAATTCGTTTTTCTTTCGTTTCTTTCAATGTTCCCGGGGAACGGATATAATAAAGTTCCCGTGAATGCGGGGAAACGCGGAGAACACTCGACTCCGATCGTGAATCACTGAAAGGAAAGAATGCACCGGAGGAACGCTGGTAATCAAGATTTAGTTTAAGAATTGACACGTACACTGGATCACTTTTCTGTCTTAGTTTCTCGTCGACAAAATTCACGATAAGGAGGCAGGACGTCTGCGGGGCGTGCGGGATGGAGGGAGCGCGCGATGCACCATGTGTTTCCGAAGTGCGGAGCGGTGTACCGGGTGTTCAGGAAGTGTACCGATGTGGGAGAAGGACGAAAAGGAGAAGTAAGAATAAGTAAATAATTTAAAACAAGATCGCTGAGAATAAAATAATTGGTTACGCCGTTGGTTATTGGTGAGAATCGATTTTCTTCGGTTTCTGCATATGTTCATTATAGTATTTAAATGAAACTATTCATTTTCTATATTGTTTTGGATAATTAACGCTTTTGAGATATGAATAATTGCGAAATAAGAAAAGTGTAACTTGTCATTTTGAAGGGTTGTATAGTGTTAAAGATGTTTAATCGAAACTGGTCGTGTTTATTATAATTGTTAGCAAACAATTCAGGAATGTAGGTGATCAATGATCTTTATGGGAATTAAAAACTTAATTGCTTATTATTAAATGAGTTTTGAATGTGTGGATAGAAGAGATGTTTCATATAAATAGAAAATAAAGTAGCTTTTGAATTTGTAAGTTAGTGCAGTTGTATTATAAATAATTTGAACTGATTACATTGTAATCTTTTGAATAGGTTTATAATAGATAGATTAGAGTTTTTTGGGTAGATTTAAGAGTCGATAGAAGATTCGATAATCGGCAATCTCGTAGGATAGGGGAATATAGATTCTAGCAGAAATGTGAATAGAAACTCGCTTGAGATTTCGGTCCAGCGACCAACAAAGAGTATCGCGGTACCGAGGAATCGGCATCTCGATTCTACAAAGCATCCTTCTAAATTATTCTTCATGGATCAAACATGGTGATCTCTAAAAATGTCAAAGGGTAACGGTCTCCAGGGTGAAATGTCAAAGATTCGGTGACAAATCTGGATGGACTCTTTTCTCCACCGACGAATAGGTCAGAATAAATTAATCTAAATCATATGATAAGGATGATGTATTCTAAATCTTGTGTCAACTATTAATAGTGCAAAATAAACGATCGTTTTAGTGAAAAAATTGTAATTCAGCTGAATCGTAATCCTTTAGTGAACTTGAATTTGTAAGAATGTTATTTGAACAAATACTGAAACATTAACTATATTCTTTCTGTCAAGAATTTTTCCTGAATTCTCTTATCTGCGATGATACAAGTCAATTTTCCAAGGATCACTTAAGATACTCTAAGAAATCTATAGAAATCGTTTCGACAACGAATTTCCAAAAGTTGACGTCAAATATATCTTCTCAGAAAGTATTTCAATGTATACATTCAACAAAACAGAAAGTTAAAGTGAATTTTATTGTGTTTCGAATCAGAATCTTTGCTATAAACACAAATCACCGAACCAATTGTCGACTACTGACGAATAATATAGATCACTGCGTATAGAAAGCAGTGTTCGACATTGATCTGAATTTTTCACTTTAATTTTCGACTTCTACCTACGTCAACTGTTATCCACAGTTTCCTAATGTAACTCCCAGGAATCAAAGAAGATCAATCCAGGTCAGCTTTCCGCATTGACATCTGACACACCGGTGCCCTACCTTGTAACGCGTTTTATAGAGTCACTATACTAGTCGGATTCGATAGGGAGTCAGGATTCAAGAAGAATCAATCCAGGAACATCCCCAAAGCTCTGACATTTAACACTCAAGAGTCCTGCCTAGCGACACTCTGCATTTTCGAAGTTTCACTTGTTCCGTCACAATCAAAATTTATTCGAATATCGAAGAGGATACTAAATCCAAGGATATTTTCAATTGCAGGTCCAGAGGAAATATTTTTCTTTATGGTTTCGCGAATCTTATACTTGGAAAGTTTGATGGTGTTTGGATATCATTTCTGTGGAGCATTTAGTACACGGTAACAAAATAAATCTTTTTAACGTTTTGTAAGTGTTAACATAGTATTCACTATATGACCGTTTCAAGCTTTGGTACGAACTATTACATTAGCACTAATTGGTAGTATTATACTGTAACTTAATACTACTTTTGAATATCGAAGAGGCGAGAAGGTTCATAGAAAAATGATTTCGAGAAGATTTGTACCGACGGCGTTCAGTTCAAACAACTTCAATGACAACTGACGCACACTTGGTAGAACGTAAAATCAATTATAATTTAGAAACAAAGTTATAGACTTATATGAATCTTTCTTCTCATTTTCGCCTGCTAAATAGCAACTTTGTTCGGGAATCATAATAGCGAAGGGGTTATATGCGACGAGGAATAAGAAATTGGAGTAGAACTTTCGAATGGAACTTTGGAATGAACCTTTGAAATAGAAATATGGAATAGAAAATTCAAATCGAATTTTAGAATAGAAAATTCAAATCGAATTTTAGAATAGAAAATTCGAATAGAACTTTGAAATAGAAAATTCGAATAGAACTTTGAAATAGAAAATTCAAATAGGACTTCGAAATATAAAATTCGAATAAAACTTCGTAACAGAACATTAGAATAGAACATGAGTAACGTCACTAACAGTAAAGTAAAACGTAAAGCAAGACGTCTCAGTAAAAAATCGGAATAAAACTGCAGAACAGAAAACTTGACATCGACGATGCCCGACAGACATCCTCGATCCAAACCGCGGCACACTGATTGTGCCTGACAGGCACGCTCAGCCCGCTACCCCTGAAAATGCCCAGGGTACCAAGAACAGTGGTAAACGGCGACGAAGACTCACCGATGCAGGCGAAGAGCGCCACGAAGAGAAGCGGCGGGAAAGCTCTCGAGGACGAAAGCATCCTGGTACCGGTCGCGGGGTCGCGTGAAGAGAAGTCCGTCAGTTCGGGCCGAGGATCCTTGGGGTCAGGAGCCGCCCAGAGGGGCGGTACCAAACGTGTCCTGTCCCGCGGAACGAAAACAGTAAAGGTAAAAGGCACTCGGTGCACCGACTGTCGCCCCTTTCGTTCCCCAAGATCAACTCTTTCTCTCTGCCTCTCTCTCTCTCTTGGTGTCTCGCAACCTCTTTCGAAATGCTCGCGGAAAATCCTCCGAGTAACTTGGTAAACAGTGATCACGACAGCGATCACGGGAACTTCGGATCGGTAACTTCTTCACGCTTTCCTCCGAACAAGTGGAACAATCTCCAAAACCGAGTCCTCGCTTTGGATTTTCAATCGTACGCCTCGATCTTCCTGTTTCCTTGTTAAAATCTCGTTGTCGTCTTCCTCGGGGTGATTCGGTGTAGTCTCTTCCTTGTTGTCTTGCCGTTTGAACGTACTTTCTTTCAGTTTTCTCGCTCGACGACGCACAAGGGAATCGAACGGAATCGGACGTTTGATCGGTGGACCACGTAAAGGCGCGTCCTGATACGTACGTCTGGTGCGGCGCCGCCGTCGGACTGAGTTTCTACGTTACGCTGCAGCAGTGGCGACGCGACGCGACGCGCCTAGGCCGCGCCGATCCGAGCCGCGCCGCGCCGCGCCATCCGCGTCGCCGCACGCGCTTATCATCTTCACCTGTGTGCGGGGACGGCCCGTCGCGTCGGCTCTCCTCTTGTATGCGTGCCCACGCCTACGAATTTCGGCGTGGCTGCACCCGTGGCCACCGAGGAATAGCTGACTTACTGTTCGAGTTTCATCTAGACTTGGTTTATAGGGAAATGGCGTACTACTAATGTGGGACACCTGACTTGGGAAGCTCGCCGAAAGGGATGTGCAATTTTTTTTAACGAAACGTAATCGTAACCAGGCAAGACGCTGAGTGCAAAATGGAGGTGAACAAGTTAGATGGTAAATTCTTTTTAGTGGAAACAAATACAAAAGAAAAAGATTAAGGGAAACACAGAATTTTAAATTCGGTGGTTAACACATGGAGGAATTAACGAGTACATGTATACCGATCGACAAATTTTAATGCCTTTGAACTATGGGGAATGTAAATAAAGTCAAATACATGAAAAAATGGTACTTAACGAATATTTAGGCGATTTGTGAGTAAACTCATTTTCGTTGGGAGAGATGAATGTTTATGGAATTGGAATCCATTTTGTAGTCATCTCGTTCAATGTTTTAATCGGAAAGTAAAGAAAATTGGTTCAAACGTCTATGTAACATCAAAACTTCTTCACTCAACATCCTTCTAATACTTTCAATCGAAAAATAACTCGTGCACTGCTCTACGATCGATGTTAAATCACATAGAGGACTTATTAGAACCATTTCATGCGGTATGAACTCGATGCAAGATCTGTATCTATCAAAGAAACATTTCTGTTCCGTTTCACCTGACCTTTCCGTTTCATTCCGCTTTCCTCCGCGCCGGAACCATATTTTTAAAGCGCCTTTAGGCGTCATCAGTGGCCGAAGGGGTTAAACCCGGGAAACCCAGTGTCGAACGCAGAAATCTTTGATAGCTTTCACCTGCAGGAAATCTCATGATGGATACCGCACAATGTTGCCTGCGTATAATACATAGGCAGACACAGCGAGTACACGGAGGCCGATAACTGCCGCGCGGCTGCATACTGCAATAACGTAGATGCAACTCGATATGTAAACGGTGGATACCTACGGGGATGCCGCGTGTGGTCGCCTGTGGACAAAACCCACAAATTCGACTATTCGCATAACGAATATTGAAGGTTACCAATGTGTCGCTAAATAGTCTCTACTATACAAAATGATGTTCATTGGGAAAGTCAAAATTCTGTGCGAATAAATTTCGTTTCTGCATTCATATAACGTTGGTATTGAAGCGCAGAACATCTATTGTCATTTAAGGAACTTTATAGTGCTCTCGTAATCTGAAAAATATATAACCACCATACGTCTAGCTATATACCTTACAATTTTTGTCCGAAGCATTTGTTTGTATCACTCATACTTTTTGAGTTTTGTCCAGAAAACAGCCGTATGGTCGCTCTTTGGACAGAAGCCACAAATTCGACTATTCGCATAACGAATATTGAAGGTTACCAATGTGTCGCTAAGTAGTCCTTGCTATATAAAATGATTTTCGTTTGAAAAGTAACGATTTTTTGCTAATAAATTCGGTTTCTCTATTTATACATCGTTGGAATCGAAACGCAGAATACCCATTGACACTGAAGAAGCTTCATAATATCCTCATAATGTGAACAGATATATAACCACCATGTGTCTAGCTCTATATCCTACAACTTTCGTCTAAAACATTTATTTGTATCACTCTTACTTTTGAAGTTATTGAGTTTCGTTCAGAAAACGGCCGTTCGGCCGCACTATGCGACGCGGGGAAATTAAACGCGTTCCTGCCCTCGACGAAGAAACACAGATCGAACGGAGTGATTTACTCACCCCCCGCGGAAGGGTGAGGTCGAATAGCGTTCGGCCTTTTTCCCACCTGTCTTTGCCCTTTGTTATCGGCATTATTAACCGTCCAAGCCCGGATGATACGCAGTGACGCGATAGGCGAACCGTTTTGATGCATTGTACGTACCCACCTTCCATTTTGCGTGGATTTCAATCCTTTAACGCGTCGACTGCCACGAAAAACTTCAGAGTTTCATGTGTCGCTTATTCTTTTGCAGCAAAGGTAAAAAGGAACGATTACTTCTTCTTTATTCACGTTATTGAATGTTTTCGTTCGACGCCAGTTGTCTGACGAATTATAATTGTTTTCACGTAATTTGAATGAAATTACTTTGTGGTTAATAATTTATTGGAAAAAGAGAAAGATTCTAGGCATTCCTGCTTTAAATTATGATTGTTAAATGAAAGTCTAATATTTATGGTAATATATACAAAAAAATTCATTACATTTCGCGTGAAACAAAGTTTTCGAAAGCAACTGGTCTATAACAGCATTTTATCAAAGTGTACCAAAATCACTGGAAACTTATCAGAAATAATAATAACATTTACTTGGAAAGTTAATCCGGTCCATAAATAACAAGTGGCCTAACTTTCCCCGAGCGTTTCGCTTACCAGATAAATTGCCTCGATTTTCGAAGTTTTTGTGCAAAATAATTCAGGTGCACACGGAAAGCGATTATATTTTTTATTTAAAATATAAACACTGCCTATAAATTAATGTAACTTAATAACCCCCGGGCGATTAACGCGTTAAACAAATTGCCTCCATTTTGCAAAACTTTCATTTCTGTCGACTCGTTGCGGAACTAAATTCGGAATAAAAATCAGTAAACATTCTTACGGAATAAAAATCACCGAAATTATATAGAGAATATTGATACCTTTTACTAAAAAACTCAGTGCGAACCGCATCTGAATATAACCTAATTTTCGGAAAACCTTTAACGCGTCAAACGAATTGCCTTCATTTTGTAAAACTTTTATGTGGACTCGTTACTGCACTAAATACTGAATAAAAGTCACGGAAAATGTATAGAGAATAATGGTATTTTTCACGGAAAAATTCAGTACGAACCGCCATCTGAATATAATCTAATTTTCCGAAAACGTTTAACGCGTCAAACAAATTGCCCTCATTTCATGAAACTTTCACGCGCGCCGATCCAGCGTCGAACGTGTCAAAGTACACAGAATTTTCCAATTGAATGTAATCTAATTTTCTCGGTGCGGTCAGCGTGTTAAATAAATTGGCACGATTTTATGGGACTTTTATGCGCGCTGGTTCAGCAGCGGACGTATCAATTCGGGCGATGCGGCTGTCAATAAAATTTGACGTACACCTGTCCGTCCCATTCGACTGCAGGCTGCAGTTAGATTCGAGGATTATGCAGTTATCAATGCGTTAAGGTGCGGATACACTAGCAGGCAATTCAAGGGATTTCGTTCCGACGGTGACTTGCAGAACTGTTTACACTTCTATTCGATTTAGTTTCGTTACTAGCTAATGGATTTTCATGGAAATTAAAATTTTTAGAAATGTTACATAGTAAACAGAAGAATAGAATTCGAAAGAAAATGCTTTCTCTCGAGGAACATTGTAAAATTATACTTTGGACGTTTTATATCAGTGATAGTAACATTGTACAAAATGATAACACTATAAGAAAATTTAAAAATAAAAGCAATTGGATGTAAATTAAGTTGAATATGAATACGCTGATGTTACATCTCAATTTTTCCATTTAAATAAAAGATTATCATACTAGAGATTTTTCTTTATTTCTATGATAATGTATATATAGACATTTTTGTAAACACAGTGGAAATTCGATAATTTGGATAAAAAATTGCGATACTAGAGATTTTCATTTATTTCTACGATAACGCATCGATAGAAATTTTTATTTTCACGATAATACCTCGATAGAAATTTTTGTAAAAGCAATGAAAGGATGAAAATCGTCCATGTAAGTAAAAGATTGTTATACCAAGTATTTTTATTTACTTCTACGATACTGTATCGACAGAATCTTTCGTAAACGCAACAAAAGGATGATGATACTGATTGCAGTGGTTGAGCCGCTATCAAAACCAGCGACTCAATTAATCAATTCGACGATTTCATATTTTACAAGACGCTCTGAATTTGGACCCCGTAAAGTACGTGCCGCGTTCTCCTGTATAAATCATCAATCTATCCGTCGCGCGCCGAGGCTGCCGATTATCGCGAGCAGCCGGGCACCATGATAAATAAGCCGCCTTTAAAATTTCATTCATCCGCCGGTCGACAGTCGAGATTACCTATCAAGGCGCTTCGCGGACCGTGTTATCGCCGGAACTCCGGGGATCACGATCAATAAATAATCACGAATCACGGCCAAGTCGATGTTGAAGTAGCGTTTCGTTGGAATGCAATGATATCAACGGAGACGGCGAGCTCGGCTCGTGATTTATGAAAAATCCGATACAATGGAACCGCGACACGATGCAAAACATGCACGATTTTCACTGCGTTTTTTGGCTCCCGGCGTAGGGAATATTTTGTAAAGATGCTTTAAAGAGAAACATTTCGAAACCGTCGTTTCTGTAATACAAGTTGATTGTGTACAGGAATATTTAATTATGAAATGTTTTTATACATTTGTGTAAATTCATTTGATTTAATGGGATTTGAGAGAGTTTTTAGCTATGTTTGATGTGTTAAGGGATTGGCATGTGTGTGGAGAAGGAGAATATTTAACTCTACTTGTAATAGATTGTTTTTTATAATAATGGTAATTGGAATTAGTCTGAAGTTGAGTAAATATTGAATTAATGCTCGTCACTTCGGACGTGTTTAAAGTTTCCATGTGTCGTGCGTTTATTCGTGCTTTCTGCAGTATTACCGACTTGGCACTGTTTCCCTTGATACGGATCATAGATTATCATGCTATACTACCGTTGCATTATGCTAATTAGAGTCGCAAAAACACTATCAATACTGTAATAAATTCGGTCTTCTCGTAAATGCAATTTTATACGATCGAACTTCTCACTTTCGACTTGATTATTACTCATAAAACAATCTTCCTTCCCATATACAAAGTTGAAATAAAATTTAAA